TCGGAGCAGGTGGCACGGCAGGGCCCACGATCACGCCAGATCAGCCTGGCAGGTGTGTCTCCCGTTCTTGCGATATGCCCATCCTGTTGGCTGGTGTCTCCTCACAGCCAGGAGAAGAAGTCGGCTGCTGAGGTCTGGAATCATCTACTAGTGCTCCCTAGTTCATTCATTTACTCAACACAAACTTACCGAGCGTCCCCTCGAGGCCAGGCGCTGGGCTGTGCTCTGGGCACGCAAAGCTAAATCAGACCCCATGCTGGTCTTCCCAGAGACAGGTGGGTGGGGGGCTGGAGGAGGACGCAGGAGCAAGCCATTACAACACGGGGTGCCAGGAACGCACAGAGGGGAGGGCCTGACCCAGACCAGAGAGGGAGATCCCAGAAGGCTTGGGGCAGAGGAAGTGGCGTCAGGGGCTTCCTTTATGTTGGCCACAAACCATGTGTGGCTTTTAAATGTTAAATTAACTAAAATGAAATCACGTTGAAAATTCAGCTCCCGCCGAAACTGGTTTGGCTCAGTGGATAGAGCGTCGGCCTGCGGACTGAAAGATCCCAGGTTTGATTCCGGTCAAGGGCATGTACCTGGGTTGCGGACACATCCCCAGTAGGAGATGTGCAGGAGGCAGCTGATCGATGTTTCTCTCTCATCGATGTTTCTGGCTCTCTATCTCTCTCCCTTCCTCTCTGTAAAAAATCAATAAAATATATTTTAAAAAAAGAAAAAGAAAATTCAGCTCCCACGACTAGCCCCATTCCAAGTGCTCAAAAGCTCCACGTCTGTTCCAGAACATTCCCACCATGGCAGGCAGTTCTACTGGGGCAGGCTCTCCCTCCCAGGGCACGCTGAGCCTCGACCTTTCTCCTCTGCTCCCCCCACAGGCGTGCACCTCCTACATTCCAAGGGACCCTGGAGACCTGCACCCAGGGAGCAGTGGGCAGTGGCAGCTCATCCCGGGCCAACCCGTGAACCTGTCCTGAAGGCCCCTTTTCTCTGACTTCTTAATAAACCAAAGCAGCCCTGGCCGGTTTGGCTCAGTGGATAGAGCGTCGGCCTGCGGACTCAAGGGTCCCAGGTTCGATTCCGGCCAAGGGCATGTACCTTGGTTGCGGGCACATCCCCAGTGGGGAGTGTGCAGGAGGCGGCCGATCAATGTTTTTCTCTCATCGATGTTTCTAACTCTCTATCCCTCTCCCTTCCTCTCTGTAAAAAATCAATAAAATATATTTTTTTAAAAAGACCAAAGCAGCCAGCAGTCTGGGCTCCTTTCCCCACCTAGTCCCTCTCCTGCTGCTTCTTCTATCCTAGGCTCTGTCTTGTTTCACTGTCCCCAGCTTTAATAAATGTCCTCTCAAAATAAAAATTAAAAATAAAAATAAAAGAGCCCTGGCTGGTGTTGCTCAGTGGTTGAGTGTTGACCTATGAACCAGAAGGTCACAGTTTGATTCCCGGTCAGGGCACATGCCCAGGTTGTAGGCTCGATCCCCAGTGGGGGGTGTGCAGGAGGCAGCCAATCAATGATTCGCTTTCATCATGGATGTTTCTATCTCTCTGTCCCTCTCCCTTCCTCTCTGAAATCAATAAAAATATATTTAAAAATAAATAAATAAAATAAAAATGAAAGAGCCCTGGCTGGTGTTGCTCAGTGGTAGAGCCATGGAGCATTTGAGCATCGACCCAGGAACCAAGAGGCCACCGGTTCGATTCCTGGTCAGGGATCATGCACAGATTGTGATCTTGATCCCCTATGGGCGTGCAGGAGGCAGCCAATAGATGATGTTTCTCTCTCATTGATGTTTCTATCTCTCTTTCCCTCTCCCTTCCTCTCAAAAAAAAAAAAAAAAAAAAAAAAAAAAATCAAAAAACACCTCGGAGTTCCACTAAATAACCATTTTTATTTACTTTTATTTTTCAAATTTCAGTTTAATTTTTAAGATTTAAGTGTCGTTGGTATCAAATATTATATTAGTTTCAATAAATCAATAAAGCCTCTATTTTTGCATCAGGTAATATCATTAATAGCTAGAAGTCAAAATAAGATCAGTAATAAAACCTGGTATACATTTTTTAAGACTATTTTTAAAGGCAGTTTCAGATTCTAAGCAAAAAAAGATTTCCAGACGTTATCAACAATAGACTTTCAGAGAAACAGAAACCAACCTTTCCTTCCTGAATCCTCTGCCTTCCAGCTAATTCTGCAGTCAAAGAGAAAGGGAAGGTGACTGAACCAGCAGGAAAGGATGAGGGGGAAAAAGCAGGCGTTCCACAGGAAAGGGGAAGCACTGGTGTTTCCGAGAATCTCAACAGCTTCTGCTAACAGAGACTCAAGAGGAGTTTCCAGCCCTGGCCGGTGTGGAGCAGTGGATAGAGCGTCGGCCTGCGGACTGAAGGGTCCCGGGTTCGATTCCGGGCAAGGGCATGTACCTTGGTTGTGGGCACATCCCCAGTGGGGGTGTGTGCAGGAGGCAGCTGATCAATGTTTTTCTCTCATTGATGTTTCTAACTCTCTATCCCTCTCTCCCTTCCTCTCTATAAAAAATCAATAAAATATATATATATTTTTTAAAAAGAGTTTCCAGCCCTGGCCAGTGTGGAGCAGTGGATAGAGTGTCGGCCTGCGGACTGAAGGGTTTGATTCCCGTCGGGGCACATGCCTGGGCTGCAGGCTTCATCGACCCCCAATGTGCCATTGGTCTTTCTCTCTTCTCTGTCCCTTCCTCCCTGAAATAAATTAAAAAAATATTTTTTTTAAAAAAGAAGAGTTTCCATTTGCTGACCCTATTAAGGCATTCCGAGTTACCCACCTGGCCTCCTCTTGGGGTGTTACAGCCTGTAACAGTCGCCCCATTAGTCAACACCCTCTCACAGAATCACCAAGCCCCAGAATGAAAGAGGCTGCTGGGAGCTCCCATGAAAAGCAGACGGAGGCACCCAGATCCTTCCTATGCCCCTTCCGCCAAGATCACAGACTTGGTCTCCAAGCCCACTTGGATCAGTGGGAGAGCTAACTGTAGATGTTTGATGGACACACTGATTCAGTAGAAGTGACGAGGCGACCAAAGCGAGCAGGAAAGGGGCAGGAGAATGATATTGGAAAGGTACCACCTCTGAAGGGCCTGGTGTGACCTTTAACCAAGGGCAAAATCCCACAGAGACCAGGTGTGTGAATGAATGACGTTGACCGGGTAATAGGGAGTGGTGGGGACTGTGGCAAAAGGGCCTGTCTAAAGGGGGCAGCTCTCTCAGCTGCAGCTCTTTGTTACTCTGTGGGCTTGTTGGCCCCGTGTAGCCAGATCTCACCGTTTCCCAAGAGAGGCTGGAAATGCAGGTTCTCATAGGACAGCCCAGGTTTTTAAAACATGTGGGCCACATCGAACTGGTTTTCGAACCAGCTATGGCCCACAAGGCCATGTAGCTGTCCCCTAGCAGATGGAAGGGAGCTCATGCTGGCTTTTGGGGGGGAGGAGGGTGGGGGGCGTGGAAAGGGATATGATAACATCTGTACTTTAGAAAAATCCCAGTGCCGCGCGCGTGGGAGAGGAATTACAGGGAACGGACCAGAGGAGAGGAAACCAGTTGGGAAATGCAGCCCTTTCGGCAGCTGGGAGGTGGCAGGGGTCCAAGCGAGGCCGAAGGCATAGAAAAGGCTGCCGCACTGATGGGGCATCTGGGCTTCAGGGGGAAGAATTCTATCTGCCTCTGGCACAGGGCAGGCATTCCCTCGCTGGCTCCCTCTCCTCACCCCTTCCCTACTCTGGGAGCCCAAGGCACAGGGCAGATAGATGATCTCAAAGACCAAAGGGACGGAAATTTTAGCAAAGACTCCGGCTGCAGCGCCGTCTAATTTTACCCACTGGTATTTTAGAGGTAGACCTCTCTTGACCAACTGCCCCAGCCCTCATGCGCCCCCGCCAAATAAAAAACATATATATCCCGGAGTTGGTTCTGCGGGGCAGCCAGCGGGAAGCTCGGAGCCAAATCCTCTTCTGCAAACAGCAGAGGGAGGCCGGGCTCCCACACAGGCTGTGCCATGGAGACAGACCTCCGAGAAGTGGCTTGGGCTCATGTCACGGTCTTGCTGGTTGTGCAACCGGGTCACTTGTGTCCAGGGAGGGAGGCAAAGGGTAGGAGGTGGCGAGTGGAGGGGAGGGGAGGCCCACGCACTTCAAAGAAAACACTTTTTAACGGCCCACAAGTGTGGCTTTGACCGCGTCTTTCCTCTGCCGACCCTGCTGGGTTTTGCGGGCGACGTTTTCGGGCGTGGGCACAGGAAATGGCCCTGCGCCTCCCCGGTTCGCCTCTCTGGTTTTGGGCAGCGCCCCCGAGGGCCCCCTGGGATGAGGGAGAGGACGGGGGCAGTCAGGCAAAGGTTAGGGAGGGGAGCAGAGCGGAGGCCCCGGGCGGACGGGAGGGCTCCCTCCGGGAAATGTTTGTATTCCTCCTCCGGAGGGAGGGAGGGAGGACAAACAAGCTCTTTTGGTGCCTCCCGGGCAGCCAGCTTTGCGCGCTCCGGCGCAGCGCCCGCGCGGAGCAAGAGCAGAGCGAGGCTTGCAAGGAAAGCGCGTCTCCCGATTCCTCTCCAGTATGAACCGCGCGGGGCCTGCCCGCCGCTTCCCACCCATGGCCACGTCCCAAAGCCTTGCGGGGCCACGCGCTCGGGTTCTCGGGGACACGGGCAGCTCGTGACCCGCGCTCTGGAGTCGGGACATCCCTGAGGCTCCGGTTTCCCGGCTGAAGGTGCCGTTCTCCGTCGGTCCGCGTGTGCAGCGGCTGCATCCGCCACCCACCTGTGCGCTCGGTGGGCACCTGCGTCCCGGGGTTGAGGAAGTTAGGAAAACGGCATCAGGGGAGTGGCGGCTCTCAGATAAGCATCT